TGATTCACCCTGACTGCAAGTGAATGTTTTAGCATCTGCGAGATATGCCGAGGTGAGTTTACTCTTTGGTTAGAATATTTATAGATTTTAGATTTCTTCGTATATCGATGTAGGAATGAAAGTCTGTTCCCATAATAAAGTAAACAGGATTGCCGAAGGAAAAAAAAGATAATAAAATATCAACTCTATTATATAATAAACCTAACTAGATAATAGTTTCTGGTTTGAGATATAAGTTCTTGTAAATTTTAAACTAATATCAGAATATTTTAAGAAAATTAATAATATAACATACTAAACTAAAAAATTATAAAGATTTATAATACAAAAATTACTAATTTAAAAGTTATATAAAAGCAAAAAGATAGATTATATGATAAACAAAGTCTAGTTAGATATAATAAATTTAGAATATCAAAGTAGTATTAAATATAGATTTAATCTTTTTTACTAGTAAACAGTTTAATAACAATGTCTTTTCAAAGTAGAGAATACTCTGACTATTAGTATGAATTTTGGCTATAATATATTGGTAATACAACAAAGATATATTTAAATACTTATTAAAGCAGTCTGATAAATATTAGATCACTAGTTAAATTAATATAACTTAGTAATAGATTGTAATATAATTTAAAAATTATACTGTATATATATTTACAAGTAAATCTAATAAAAGTATTGCTAGTTTTTTTGCTAAATTAAAAAAATTAGTATTATATACAGTATGTATATCTTTAAAATTATATTAAACAAAAAGTTTTTATAATTTAATATATTAGATAAATAGGTTTTTTAAAAATATACTTGTTATTTCACTATATTATATTATTCTTTTTAATTTAATTTATTTTTTAAAGTTAGTAATCTATTTATTTAAAAATACAAGAGATTCTTTAAATATGTCAAATTCTTTTACAAAATAATATAATTATTCTATTACTTGTAATCTGTTCTACTTATATATTTATAGTAAGTTCTAAATTTAGATACTTTACTAAATAATGATAAAAGATCTTCTTAGTTTGTTTATTATTTTTAAGTTGATAATATTTATTAATTTGCTTTAATATTTTTATTATAATTAAATATTTAATATTCATATTTGAATACTGTTTTATAAATTCTTAAACTATTTTATATAATAATTTTTTTTGCAATTTTATATATATATATTTTTTGTATATTACTAATACAACTTTATATCCTTTTTTTAAATACCAATTAAGAAGATATAATATCTAAACTAATTTAGTAAAAACTATTAATCAGTTGTTTTAATTTTTAGATTAATCTGAGTTAATCAAAATTTCATTATTTTGGTTAATTAAAAAATAATATATAATTAACAAATATTCTTGTGATATACTTGGTTTTAGCAAGCTTTATACAATTTCTCTTTTATATTATTTTAACTTTTATTATACAAATCAACCTTTATTTATAATAAAAAAATATTAATTATATTGAAATATATCTGAATTTAATAAAAACTTATTTTTTATTTTAGAGTAGTTTTTATTCTTTCTATTACAAAGCATCTATATAACCATTTAAAATCTAATTAACTCTAATATAAGATGATTCTTAATTAAGAAAATTATTAAAAAAATGTTATTTTACTTTAAACATTCACTAAAAATAAATATACTATTGGGTTACAATATATATATTAGTAGTTTTTAAGAAATTGTTTAAAGAAATATAATTATAATAATCTAAGGTGATCATCATTTCATTATTTTTAGAATTAAAATGCAATTTAAAACCAAAACAGGAGTCAGTTATACCCAAATTTAGGTTATAAAGTTTTTGAAAGTTCTAAACATTTTTTTATTTAATACATCTGACCTCTGTTTCTTAGTTCCGTTTTTGAGATATAGTACTGAGGTGATGATTACCTCAGGTTATAGTTAATAATATTCTTATTTAAAAATAAGTAATTTTTTTTTAAAAATTTTTAATAATTTTTTAAAAACTACTAATCCAAATTGGCTAAATTTTAATATATTATAATCTTAAAAATTTTAACCAAGTTGGTTTGGTAGTTGTTGAAAAAATCAAACCGGAAGTTAATATAAAATTATACTTTTTATATTTTTAATAATATTAAAAAATTTTTACTGTATTTAATAATAAAACCTTTATATAATTGTAAAATTTATTTTTAATATAGCTGTGACTATATAAAGTGCACCCTTTATTAATCACATCTCTATATAATCACCATTTTTTTGTATCCATAAGGTGTGATTATAGTGAGGTTTGACAATATTGAATATTGACAAAAATCTTTTTATAACGAATCTACTCCAATAAACTTTATTAAAAAATTCATTATAAAGTTCGATATAGAAACATAGTAAATTACTCTTTTAAAAAATTAAATATATAACGAGTATAGTAATGTAGTATGTACATTTTGAATTTGTTCAGTGACATTTATTTCTAATCGAATAAATTAATAATACATATTTTAAAATCAAAGTAACTATAATAATTTTATAAATAGTATATATTATTCTATTTAGGAAAAATATTAATATTTTATTTAAAATATATTTATACGGTAAATTAGTAAACTTTATATTATTGTATTAGTTTGTCAATGATTTTTGACAGATCAAGTTAATAATACTCGTAAAGGGTAACAATTCAAAATATTTTAAATCATCGAACTCGTTCAAGAGACTAATGTTAATTAGATCTATGAAACCTCAACTTTTGATGGATGGGTAAAGAAGGAGGAAATAATAAAATTTCTAAAGTATTTTATTTTAAAATAATTACGTGGCGTTTGTTTATTTTTCAAAGACACCACCAGCCTACTTAACGATACCAAAAACAAAAAGGTAAAAAGACGAAGGAAAGAAATGGTCGGTAATAAAAGTAACAAATACATAAAGTATTTAAATTTCGCATACGAAAATACTAAAAAAAAATATATATATAGAAAGTTTTCCAGATAGTCCATAAAATCTGTACGAGGTTTATCTTTGGTTGCCGAAGAGGAAGTAGGGATGTGAATATATAAATTGTATAAAATGTTCATTAGGCGTAAACAAAAAGACCTTTGATGATGTATTGCCCTGTATGTTTCATGGAAAACAACAATCAGTAGATTGAAATATTGTTTATTCTCCCAACGCCATTTTCAAAATTTCGCACCGTCTCTCCAAAACCTTCAAGACCTCTTCCACCTGTTTTTTAGACATTTGATCTACCAAAGATTTAAAATTTGATTCGTCATTATAGTCAAACGGAGCGGATATATATCCAGAAATTGCAGAATTCTGATCTTGCCCACCCGCAGCTTCTTCCAAATGCAATTGTTGTCTACGTTGCTCCTCCAACAATATTTGTTCACGTTGGCAAGTGGCAGCAGTTGCCAAAGTTAAAAGAGCTGGAGCCATGAGACTTGGAGACATCGTCATCGGCGCTATAGGCCTTTGATTAGGAAGAATTGTGTGTAATGTCATAGGCGCCTTCGGCGAACCGTAATGCGAACCAGGTAAAGAATCGTTCGTTTCTTCAGTAGAATGACCATCCTCGATATGACCATATTTATTCCAATCACGACGCCTGCGTTGAATCTTAGACTTACGCATTGCGATTGGACGATCTCGATTATGTAACTTGGCATACAAACCACATGCGTTACAAAGTGGTTGTCCTTTATCATTCTTCCGCCATAAAGGCGTTTGAGTTTGACCACAATTTGCACATTGAATTTGTATATCAGCCATAGCAGCAATAGATGAAGGATTTATCGGAGCCGATGGCAAACTTGCTGGTGGTATGGTAGGTGATGGTATAGGTGTGGTTGTCTGTAATACAGGTGGAGGATTTATATTAATTAGTGGCGAAGTGTTTTCGTTTGATATTAACGCAGAAAATAGAGGTGTTGAAGGTGTGGGTGTTGATGTAGGTGATTTAATTGATGCTTCCGGCGCAGCCTCTTCACCATTAGATTCTTGTCCAATTAGATGGTCAGAAGATATGTCAGAATAATTTTCCATAATAATATCGGTTTCCTCCTCCATGTCCTCTCCTTCGTCCCCCTCATCTTCCTCTCTAGTAGCGGGCAAGATATAAGGATAGGATTTGGCTGATGATGTTCTTGTTTTGTGAATTATATGTAAAGGTCGGTGAACATGGTATTGTTTAAAATATAGACCACAAGCATTGCATAGTGAGTGCATTCTGTCCGGTGTTCTACGCCAGAGTGGTGTATTTTTTATACCACAATTAAAACATTGAAGTTGTCGAGGAGGTTTAGAACCAACTCTTTTTGACTCTCTATGATTTGAGATATTGTTGCCATCAGTCGAGTGTGACCTCGCGGCATGAGCTGAAGCAAGAGCAGAGACAGCCGATTGGAGCGCCGTCATATTTTCGTATTCACTTGGTGTAGGTGGATTGGTAGAAATAGGGGTTGTTTGTGATGACATTGTCTCGGCAGAGGCAGAGGAGTCGGCAGAGTTTCGACGAGAAGATGCAACTATAAAGAGAGAACATCTTGAATTAGGATAAAAATACTCTTGGTTTTTTATACGAACATCAACTAAATAGTTTAAAATAAGACTCACTGCTTGTATAATGTTCCATTTTATTTATTTATTAAAGCTTAACGAAAGGGTAAATATAAACATCTTGTTATTGAGTAAAGTATAACTTCAATCACTAATAGCATCATAACTTATTAGACCTACCAGTAAAGTGTAGGTGAGTTGAAAAAAAATGCCCTTCAGAGATAACTGTTAGCGAAGGAAGTAATTTAGTTAATTGTCTAAATGCTTGGTTTCGGAAAAGGCTGATAAGGACATGTCGAGTTGAGAGAAAACAAGAACTATAGATTTTGTATACTGCTTCAAGTTGATCTGATCATTATTGTTTCCACAAATCTCTGTGCACTGCCCCAATCATATATACGTCATCAAATCGGATTGGAATGACCAACCAAAACGCTCTAATCTATCCGCAGACATTAGATGTATTATTGTGGCATCTAATTATCGGATATCTTACTAACTTAACACTGACTGCGTTTTTCTTATTTATATCACTTCAGATATCAATAATACCGAATTTAATTATAAACATTAAATCATTGGACTGATTGTAGCTTATCATTGGCCACGATTTTACTTCTGTTGTTATTATATACATTATATCCTTGTCTTACCATCAGTTTGCGGAGTTACGGGGCTAAAAAATTTATCTTTTTATCAAGTCTATAAATATCTTATCATTTACATGAACGATTTGCATCATATAAATTTTTGGTAGAAAGGTGATCATTTATCAAAAAAAGTTTGTTATATAATCTACATTTATAGTTTCAGTTTGAATTATCATTATTAATTCCAAAAAAAAATAAAAAAAAAATAAGCTCTAAACTTTATTGATTAGGTCTTGATAGTTAATTTTAAAATTATATAACTGATATATCTTATGATTTGTTAATTAGTGATATATCTATTAAAATAACTTTTTGTATTTTTTAATTAAAGTATATGCAATGCTAGTTCATTTTAAAAATATTATTACTAATTGTTCGAGAAATACATATATATGTATATTATATACAATATGTATAACAAACTCTGAATTTTGATTGGTTGTTTATTTGATATGATGATTAGTTTGAATGACGTAGATATCGAAAATACTGATTTTATTTGAATTTTAATTAGAGGATTTCCCCTATGGGTAAAATACCCGATATAAAAAAAAAATCAGAAAAACAAATATATATAGATATCTTAAATATTATGTTTAACATCTAATTTTATATATACAGTACATATAATAAATACATCTTAAACCTACCCTAACTTACCCTGTAATATATTAATATATTTTTTTCTTATACGGTCGTTCTCCTCTATAATCACGCAGTCCGTATTATGCTAATTGCGTGGTCATATACAGTACAGTAGTAAAACCTCTCTATGCACCTTTCTCGGGACCATAGCAAAAAAAAAAAGACAAATCGTATATATGAAAAGAGTGTGTTTTATAGAGGGCAAAACATATAGTGCTCTTATAAGTTGGAATCAAGCTATACCGCGCATTTAAAGAGAATTTACATAAAGCGTGCACTTATAGAACGTGCGCTTAGGGTGGTTTTATTATATAAAGGTTTTTATCATAATGTGTTTATAAAGAGGTATTTTTTTATGTTTATTAGTAAAGTGTTGCGGACTTGTAGGTGACTATATAGAATTATAATTGTACTAGATATTATACTTTATAAAAATTTTTATAAAATTAATATATAAATTAGATAATAAATTTTAACTAAGGCCGCACAAATTTAATATCTTGGTTTTCATAACATGAAACATTTAAACAGACCTGGCCGGCCGGCTTTTTAAAAAAATTTCATAAATAAAAATTTTATAAAAATTTTTTAAAAAACCACCCGGTTATTAAAATATATAAAATTTTTTTTTACAAGTTTTCAAATTTGACCGGCCGGGTTATGAAAACCAATTAATTAATTTTGCATGGTCTAATTAAAATTTATTAAAAAAATTTTTATTTAAAAAATAGATATTATTTTTAGTAATAAATTTTAAAGTGGTTTTTAGATTTTATAATATATAATGGAGTTTGGATTTAATTTAAAATTAGCCAATTATAATTAAATATAAGGTACTGCTATTTGCACCATAGTTTTAGCTATTGCACTATTAGTTTGACCAGAGTTAGAGTTAGTTCCAGTCAAATTAATGGTGTAAATAGCAAAAATTGTGTTGCAAATAGCAATTCCCTAAATATATATATATTTGACAATTTTGTCTTTATTATTTAATTAGAAGTACCAGAAAATTACATTATATTAATGGCAGTTTTGACAATAATTTTTTATATCATAATTTTATACTAATAAAGACTCACTTGATATTACAGCCCAAAATTTTATTAGATGGTTGATAAGTTATTTTTAGAAAATATTTTGTTACAGTTTATATTTTAAATTTTTTTTAAAAATAATTTTGATTTGAAGATATCTTAGCAACTATTTTATATATTTGATATTTTTTTAGAAATATTATATTTATAACATCTATATTATATAATGAATCGAATATAGTATAGGTTATCTTTTTTTTTTTTTTTTTTTTTTTGTTTTTTTTTTTCTTTTATTGGCAGCCTCGCCAGTATTTTTATTAGATCAAATCTAATGTAAAGTTACATTATAAACTATCTAAGTTACAGATTCGACATTACTCAGTTTTCTCTATAGACGCCCAAGTGCAGTCTGCCTCACTGGTTAAGGCTATTGCCCATACCGGAGGGCTGCACCAAGCTAGCCGGTGAAATCATACCAAGATAGTTTCGATTTAAAGAGATTTTTAACTAAACTAAATTGGCAATTTTTTCCTTCTAACCTATCCTCCATTTTATTATAAACTAAA